ACGATTGGCTTCAACGTAGAACAAGTCACATACAAAAACCTTAAATTCCAAGTATGGGATCTTGGAGGGCAAACAAGTATCAGGTGATTGTTACATTTTGTTTTGTAGGTTATGTTCTTTTCCTTATCATGAAAACATAATTTTAGGCTCTAAAACGATAATGCACACTTAGATATCGTATTAAATCAATAGAAAACCTTTAGTAGCACAACAATAATTGATGTTTTATTAGTAATTTTATGATTAAAGTGGTACTTTCAACACACTTTCTAATTAACTGTTTTTAGACTGTTTACTTATTATTTCTTGTGAGTTCTGGCTAATGTATATGCAAATCAATTATTAGTTTGATTGTTATTAACGCATTAGGTACAACATTGTAAGTAAATACATTTAAGACAGGAATGGGAGTAGAACAACAAATGTTTGACGTTCATAAGTGCCAAAATACTGGTCTAAATTGAATAAATATTTTTGACTTCATTTCATTTGAAGTACATCAACATTATTGATTCTAACTACAAGAATTCATGTAAATTTTTATATTTTACTATTATTTCAGGCCTTACTGGCGATGTTACTATGGGAACACAGATGCGATCATTTACGTTGTAGATTCTGCAGATAGAGATCGAATAGGAATATCAAAAGATGAACTTGTGCATATGTTAAGAGTAAGTATCTTTCTTGAACATTACATATAGTATTTTGTCACGTAAAAAGATAGTTTTGAGATGAAAAGTGTTTTGGCAAAAATTAAGACAGGATGTATTTTTTATCTATACTTCCTTCTTCCTCCTTGAAATGATTAATAAAATCATTTGTGTGACATATTGAATATTTTTCGATGGTTCATCTGTATTCAAATAACTTGTTAGGTACTTGTTGAGCAAAGTTTGCATATTACACTTGCAAACTTTACCTCTAACATTTGCGCTTAACATTCATATTAGGTATTACAAAATATTTATTGTTCTAATAAGAAAAATAAATTGACTAAAAGTGACATAAGAGAAAAATCCAATGAGTCATGTCATATCTTCCGCTGCATGTCCTATTCTTTTTTTTAATCCACAATGAGAAGGCAAAAAATTTATTCACAAAACAAAAACACACATTGGCATTGGAGAGAGCTCTTTTCCTGCATGCTCATTCCCACCATTGTCATTCCAGGAAGAAGAGCTAGCGAACGCGATCCTTGTGGTCCTAGCCAACAAGCAGGACATGGCGGGCTGCCTGACGGTAGCCGAGGTGCACCAGGCCTTGGGGCTCGACGCGCTGCGCGACCGAACCTTCCAGATCTTTAAGACGTCGGCGGTACGTGGCGAGGGACTCGACCAGGCCATGGACTGGCTCTCCAATGCGCTGCAGGCCAGGAAATAACAGCGGATGTAGGTGAGATATCCTACTTCCTACTAATATTATAAATGCGAAAGTTTGTATGGATGTCTGGATGTCAACATGTTTGTTACTCTTTCACGCAAAAACTACTGAACGGATTTTGATGAAACTTTACAGTATTGGTGTTTATAACCCAGAATAACATAATAATATAGGCTGTATTTTAATTGTACACGTTTTTGTATTTGCCCACAAATTGTTTCGTAAGATGTCTAAACATTTAGTTGAGACATCTTACGATCCAAAGGCTGGCCTATACCTTGGCCAAAGAATTAGCCTGGCCATCCAGCGTGGCAATGTGGCCAGCCTTCTGGGCACCTTCCCCCAAGACAGCGGATTAAACGAATTTTTTTATTAATAAGCCTTGTATTTTATTTTATTTTTTATTTTTAAATTAGATTTAGTTTAGGTTAATTAAGTAGTTAACTTTAAATATTATTATGTTTTATTTTATTTACGACATATATATTACATTATATATGATTATTGAACATGCTGCCACTTGCTGTTTACTGGCTTACATTTTCACTATTCCCTACCTCCGGGTCGAAAGCTAATCTCTTTGTGACTACTAGACCACGATGTCCGCCGTGGTAGGCGCGATAAAGCGTCACGGACATTTCCGTTGTAGTCAGAACTGCTATGAAACTATTATGCGTGGCTTCCACCAATTGTCAAATAGTGTTCATAAGCTATTAATGTGCAGCAATAGCATTTTTTTTTATAAAAGTTTATTAGCAATTTATTATTACACAAATTACTAATAGTCCCGTTAGCCCCTTGTACTAAGCTAAATATGCTTGTATCACGAGTGAGCTCATCACAATAGTCGAGTGGCGGCGGGGACCGAACCCCCGTTCCCCGGATCACGAGTCGGCCAGTCCGACCCCTTCACCGTTCGGCTATTCACCACTATCAGAGTAAATACAAATGAGTAAGTCATCTTCTTAGAAACGCACCGAGCGCGGTTTGTATGTGAGCGCGCCAATATACGTATGCGGCGCACACGCACACACTGACAAAATTCGGCGCAACCACGACTGGCTCCCCGCTAATCCCCGCTAAATTTTGTCAGTGTGTGCGTGCGCGCCGTATACGTATTGGCGCACTCACATACAAACCGCGCCCGTGCGTTTCTATGAAGATGACCTACTCATTTGTATTTACTATGCCACTATCGATTTGAAGAAGATTTGCAAGAATATTATGAAGAAATCTTGTTATTTTTGTTTACAGGCTATGTCTGAGAACACAAGAAACAAATGGGACTTGCTGGACTGAGTGTGTGAGAGGGGCAGAGATAATTATTTAGTCACCCGTAACGCCATTAGTTTTAGTACTTAGCGTCGCCGCCGAAACGCTTGTCTATGGTAATGTCTATGCTATTTCTATTATTTAACTGGTGTGAATGGATCGAAACTAACATTATTAACGTCATTTGGCTGAAAAAAATATTATGTTACAGTATTATTTTCATAAATATTAGGAGTTTAATCATCAGTGACTAGTGACTAGCTTTTGCAAGTTTGCGGACTGATACGTTTCTTGGTAAAAATAACAAATCAATAAATGCCGATGTCAATTATATGACCAAGCAAGAATGGCAAAACGATATGATCAACTTTACAAGTTAACCTAGACATGCTAGTGGCTCATCCTATTTTACTTGATCTTGTTCACACATTCGTTTGTTTATTCAGTCCTTCAATTTCTCGATCCATTCATGCCAGCTCTTGTCAATTTTTACATAGCAAAGTTGGAAGCTGAAATGTTTCAAACATATTAAAGGTTTAATCGTACTTGACGAACCAGAAGTTGTCTCATACTTGGCCATCAGTAGTTTCTATGAGACGATCCTGAACCTGAAATCGTTATTGTTTCTCTAAACTGATATGCATTAAACATAATTAATTATATTTCGAAATAAATAAAAATTCTACGTCGTTCGTTATTGACCGTCTTGGCTTGGCGACGCCTTACCGTCAAACACAACTTTCAAAAAGATACATAATAACTGAAACCGTATAATATGATTTTTCGTTGATTCTAATAATTGTTGCGGCGTTATCATTCACTCCTGCTGTTCTACAAAATGTTCAGCGTAAAACAATCCACTTTGGGATTATGCGAGTACTATGAAATGTTTCGCCTTAAGCGAATCAAGGCTTCTCTGTCAAGGATCGCACTAAATCCAACGGGTTACAGTTAGTAATAATTACGAATAGGTAGTCAAAAGCTAGCTTCATTGTCTTAAACGAGTGAAACTTAGTTTTGACACATAGAGGGCGCCACTTTGTATGCAACATCTAATGGCAGCGCGATATAGCTTGGAAGTGAGCTTGTGATATTTATTTTGAATAGATAAAACGGATACGTGTGTTTTATCATGTAAAGTATCATGCACATTTGTATGAAATGCGTGACGAATTACTTGAAGATGTTCATATAGCTATAGTCTCGTGAGTATTCTTATATTGCAATGTTCGATCGATTGTTATATTAAATGTATGCTTATTTTATTTATTACAAAGGATAATCAATTCATATTTATAGTACTGTGTGTACATGATAATAAATAATGGGTCATAAACACCAATATTTAAATAATAGCAATATAATTATAATATTTCGTAAGTATTCTCTATTGTATGTTATTTTATTCAAAGAACCTGTCAGCAGTTATGATTCCACTTATTTATGTATACAGTTTTGTTTATAATACATAATATACCACATTCAATTTATCTGCACAAGCAAGTATTTGTTGAAAATTGAATAGTAGAAAGTATTTTAAACAAGTTTCCAGCATGACTTAGATAAGTTAATTATATTGCATCATCCTCGAGTCTCCCAGTATGAATACTATTTATTTATTTACATAGGAAAGTTTGGCGGCGACGCGTTTTATCTAAATGAAATAAATTGTTTTGTAGGGGGTCGATGCGGAGAAGGATGTACCTATACATAAGTTATTATTAATTACAATTAATTAATATATATTTTGTATCAGTGACGTTCACCAAGCTAATTTATATTCTATTGCGGTAAGAGAGAAAGATTGTTCCAAATACAATATCATAAATTAATTTGTGTATTTTATTTTATTATTATTTTAGGTTTGATTCCTTATAGTATTTATATTTGAAATAAATCAGTACACTACTCACATAATCAAAAAGAATGTAGTATAAATCTAAAACACAATTACCTACTTATTAGAGCAAAAACAATTTAATCCAATATTTTAAGAATACGATATTTTGAGAATTTGATATTATGCGAATAAAGGAATTTTCCTTATTCAAGTTATCTGACGATTTCATACCGCCATCAAAAGCCACTTTGGTTTTGAATTGAAGTATTCCACGTAAGATTAAATGTGGAAGCTATCAGTGCCAGCGGATAACTCAACCACAACTCAACCATTGAAAAATAATACTTGCAGGTAAGTAATATTATTATTATCATGATACTGAATAAACATTTCTTCTTACTTTCTTATTTGTGTGAACGTTGGCCAATACCAAGGCTTCCTCCAAGGGCCACTGTCTTCAACGGATAACTGAACAAATGAAAAAGAAACCCAAAATACTTGTAGGTGAGTTATTTATTAGTATTAACGTTGCGTGTCATTTGAACGAGAACCAAGACTTCTTCTCCAAGGGCCAGCGGCGTTTCTTAGGGTCGATGTGCGGGCAGTTGTCCTTCATAAAGAACAGCTTGTAGATCAAGGCCAGGAGTCCAGCACCCACGGCCACTCCGCCTATCATGGGCAGCCATGCGCCGATGCCTTCGCCATCGTTGCCTAGGAAAAAAAATTACTTGAAGATTTTCGGTTTCTACTACAGTCAGTGTCAAACTTGCTTCGTTAGCCTAAGCAGAACTCTACTATAACGTGAGACATAAGTTAGTTTTTTTTGTGCTAAAAAGAAGTCTCTAAATTACTTCTACATTGCCAAGTACCATCTTTACTTATTTGTATGGAGTTGATAATGAAACAGAAATGAGATCTTCAATATCTGTCCTGTTGGTCAGTTTTTGTGGGCTTTGAAGTATGCTCTTAATCTCCATAAGCATTGCCATAAGCTCCTTAATTATTACAAGTTGTAGATACCACACCTTTAGGTAGACCCATAAACCATTTTTTATACATCAGAAAATGCTTTGCGCATACCTATTGGTCGATAGGGACGGCTAGTAGGTTATGTGAGACTCCTCCCACTAAATGAACATTATTTTCTTACCTGAACTACCTCCAGATCTGCCTCTAGCACTCATGCTTGGTCCAAAGCTATAGTTGGCAACTTTATGGCGGCTATTGGCATATTTTCGACTTATGATTGTCTGAAGTAAAAGCTCTCTTGATTGAATTCACCATTCTTGAAATATTTACGTAACGTTATCCATTTTTCTGGTATCCAGTTTAAAAATTTTGTTGTGGCATTTTTTTGACAAATCACGTAAAAATGACGTTACATCTGAAATGTCATAAGTTTTCTTAGTTCTGTCATAAACTGCTGAAACCTCATCGTGAAACTTCTTCCAAATCTATGGAATTTCCAGGAGGTTTACCTAAAAGAGTACCTACTCTCAGTAGGTTTTGGTTTCAGTTTATTTTCGAGTTCGAAAGATAAATAAAATTCAATAGTTATTCCAGTTGTATTTATTTCTTTAGAAATCACTATTTCATTTTTCGGTAGAGAACACCGGGCTTTATATTTCCGAGACTTCTCGTTGGCTTTGGCACAGTGTTCCTACTTATTATTCACAAGTGATTTGCTTTAAAGTCGTGTGTTACGTTTCATTGTAGGGATATAGTATGTCTCGCATCAATATTCGTCTATAGGCCATTTTCTTCTACTTGGGTGTATCCTGTCGCAGTCGCAGAAGTTTCTGCGCTCGCGTTCTTTTACAGGTTCGACCTTCTTTACCGGTTTTTTTACTTCTGGCTCTCCTGTACCCATGAAGTAGAGTAGAGCGAGGAATCCAGCTCCTATTGCTATGCCACCTATGATGGGCAGGTACGGCGTGATTCCATCATCGCCCCCTGAAATTAGAATATGTTTATTTAATATACAAGTTTGTTCTGGAGTTCCTGACACTTTGGTAGGACACAAATGAACAAAGCTTTCTTTAAATATCCTCAGTTTCATTATGACGTAGCAATCATAGTTGGAATAAACAACGGTTGGATATTGCATCGGTGCAATCGCTTCAATTCAAACAGAACTTTATTTATGTGGGCTGTACTTCATAACTCTGACATCACAGTATCCATGATAATTCAGAATATTAAGGCTTACCTGCTCCAGCTCCACCACCAGCCCCAGGAGCTGGTGCTGGTGGCGGTGTAGGAGGTGGTGGGGGTGGCGGTGACGGCGGTGGTGGGGGCGTCGGTGGCGGTGAGTCTGCCATATCCTCTGGTCGCGCTTATATCTCAGTTTGCTCTGTTTCTGCTTACGGTCACATTTCTTGTGGTTGTGGAGGGATAGGGACTCCCTGCGGATCATTTTGGGTGGTAAAAGGTGTTCATTTCGTTTGCGGATCTTTTAAGTGACAAAAGTTGTCAGTTTGGCAGTGCATGTCTTATTAGTTTTTAAAGTTTTGCTGGAAGGGTAGATTCAATTACTGAACGATGTTCAGTAATTAGCGATATCATAAATTCTTCATTTTAAATGTTATTGAAACGTTTTTGCGCCCTATTAAAGTAGCATAGCGTAAAATTTTAATTAGTGGAACCGTAATGAAATATAAATATCACGCATGTTGCGTGCAAATAACTATGCCACCGTCTATAATCTATGATGTTTCACGGACTTTGCTGTCATGTCAATCAAAACTCATGCAAAACTTTGTGAACTTAAAATCTAATTCAAAATAAAAATATGAGAACCTGAAACTTCATGAAATCCAAGATATGTAACAGCTATGAGCCGGAGAGGCGACAGTGATGGCGGGGTGGCCTGATTGGTTGCCGCTCATAGGTGAGGGAGCCTAATTGATTCTTCAGGATAGTCAATTTGTGGTGCAATAGGACGACGAAGAACGTGCTTCACTAATGGCTATCACACGTACTTAAGTCCATTCTTCAGGAGAAGATTGTAAGATTTCTGATAAGTCTGGTCCATTCAGTATAGTTTGTCTTATCCAAAAACTTTTGTGTTAGTTCAATCTACAGTTTTTGTCATTATATTTGGTCAGTGTGCGTAGCATGGGTTTGTACCCGGGGCGATCNTATGGCACCCCCTGGTACCCCCCAGGATTTTGGGGTTACCTACCGATTCGAAGATTGAAAGACAATCACCCCCCCCGTATCATGACATAGACCGCAGATTTGCCATGCAGATATGCCAGTGAGTACTAATCTACGCGACTTGTGTCACCCCCTGATGCTTGGCACCCGGGGCGGACCGCCCCCACCGCCCCCCCCTTACGCCGCTACTGTATTTGGTTAGGGTGTTAGCAAACGCAATAGTGTTCTTACTCTTCCTCTTTCAGGAGGAGTAGCGGTTGGTGTGGGATTCCTTGCGCTCATCTACAAGATGTTCTTCGGTAGATCGAAGTGTCTCCACGACCGGACCAGGGGGCCCTCCTGGCCCTGCCAGAAACAGAAGCCGTGCCCATACTACAAAGATGGTTCCAAGCCTTGTTGACAGAACATGTTGTAACGTTGCCTATTTTGTCTTTTACTCTGATGCAATAAAGGATTAAACTGATATACTTTTTACATTTTACCAGCACTAGCTGTTGCTCTTTGATAAGATGATTTTAGGGCCATTGGACATTTTATTTGCTTTACGTGTTATCGAACATGATCAAATTATTTACTATCGGATAATACTGACAGTGTTTTTACCAGGCCCTGTTATAATTGAAACTTTGACCTAACTATCAAATCTCAAATTATACCTTTACGTTACCTATTTGCAGTTTTTATCTGAGAATCAAAGCCTCTGTCATTCGCAATAAATAATCGTATGGTGTGCGTGCAAAGAAGGACTAACTGTTAAAGAATCTGAATCGCCTTGATTACTTATCTTTCGTCAAAAAAATAGGCAACCCCAATATTTTCTGCGTGGTTAAATTCCTGTGTTACATACTGGCAGTTTAATAAATGAGGAGCTATCCTCGCTAGTCACACGTAATGTAACGACGACAATAAATTCTTTTAATGTCATCCGCTACTAGTTAATATTTATTTGCAATGATTACAGAAGTTGTTTTTCTCCGAGGCCCAAGTATGTGGTTGTAAACGACTTGATACAGTGATAATTGTTTCTCGCTCCGCCACTCGGTCTAATTCCTCGAATCAACTTAAGATCTTATCGCTTCATTACCTCTGGCAAATTGTATGTAAAATCTTTATCTTGCTTGTATGACATGTTCAATTCTGGTATGTTCGTCACAGTATCCTCAATTACTCCATTTGTATTACAAATGCGAGCACAACCTTTTCTTACATTCTTTATGTTTTTTTACAATACTACCTCTTGAAAATTGGTAGCAACAGGATTCCTTATGCGTACGTAATTAATTCCAAATAGTTTGGGTTTTTGTAGAGGCTTAATGATCTTGTCTACCAAAAAAGTAGGACACGATCGTGTTATTGAAGTTAATGGTCGACCAGATATGAGAGTATGTTCATTTCTGTTAGGCTGGTTAGAAATCAAATGAAAACGTGGTAAATTCCGATATTTTCAATAATGTTTAGAAGAATTGGACCATTTTTATTAGTTCAGTAGACTGATTCATATGAATTTGACCGTGGAAATAAGTTTATCTAAAATTACCTATTTTCGTTTTTGCTCGTGTCATTTCCTGTAAAGCAGTTTCTTCGTCTTGTTTGCCATTACAAGAGATTAACGCATCTTTCAATGTATTTTCACAGCTTTTTACATTAAAAGTCATAACTCAATCGACATTTCAAGCTGTTGAGCTATATGTTAATTATATTTATTTATATTATATGTTTGTATGTATCTGTATATATGTATGTATATGTATGTATGTATGTAGGTATATGTATCTTATATTATATCAATTAAAAATTTAACTTCAATTTTAACTTCTACCCTTCTACCTCTACCTTCGCACACACAGCTTTCTGCATAACCCAGGGGTCGACTGGCTGAGAATGCTTAAATAGCATTAAGTCCACCTTTTGTACTATTTTATTGTGCAATAAAGTTTTATAATAATAATAATAATTGAGCATCATCTTCGTTATTCGAATCTGCCTATAGAGTTTCCAGAACTTCAGTTGTCCAGTTTACATAATATTGTACTTAGGAAGAGAAAGTCCTTGATTCTATCTTAACTGAGCGAGTAGGAGTAAGTTTATATTTGTCCATGGGTAAGAATGTCGCCATTCCTTTAGGATCAGAACCCAATAAAATGGTTAATACCACACTAATTAGCCATGTTTTAACAGCAATACCACGTGTCCTAGCCCGTATATTACTAAACCCGGTAAATATTATTGTTGGTCTTGTAATCATGGTGACCGGTAGCGCGCAGGTGGTTGGGCCGGCCGGTTCGGGAAACCAATCTTAGGGCCCGTTGTTAAAGTTTACAATACCTTAAGATTCGGCAAATATCCTGAGAGCCCTGTATGGCATGTCTTGTACGAAATAGCAACGAGAACTGTGTCTAAATATGCAAGGCTGTAAGTGCATTTTTAAAGTGAAGAAACTTAAACGTTTTGGTGTATAGGATAAGGTCGGTTTTGGAGCGGGAACGGGATAGTTTGGGACAGAAGTGGCGGGGCGCGGGGGGTATGCGGTCGAACTGGTTGCTCGAACGACGACCGGAGGCTGCGCACGGGCCGGGTACAATCTTATGCTTAATTTTTTAATTAAAAACCACGTGGTTATTTTGTAATATTTCTATTTCTACTGTTCAATGTAATTTGCGGAAATCTACAATGGAAATTGTGGATCAGAGTTTTTTTTTTTTTCTGAACTTCAAATTATTATTCGATGCTCTCTTATTATTTTCCCCTTTTATACAAAACGGAGCTCCGTTCTATACAGATAAATTCATGAAGATTCAATAAGATATCCTAAAAATACAAAATTATTACCCTAAACAGTCCCAAACTACGATACAAGAATAAAGCGCAAAAATAAATTATCATTTGCCGCAGACAATGGGCTCTTCAAAAAATTCACATGCGTTCTCCAATACAATGGATGTGTAAAAAACTATAAATCTTTTAACTTATGATGTGAAAAGCTTATAAAGCTATACAGGATTGCTTTAAAAAAACCTTTTCATTTCTATAAATTTTGCCCTATATTTTAACTCTAAAAACTATTAATTTCTTCAACAATTTAATCAAAGTTACCGATCCTAATCAATATACTTACAGAAAAAATCCTAAAAGCTCCCAACAAAAATGAAAAGCTAAGGGCTTCAGCACTTTGTGCTCGCCAGTACAGGGCCAAGCTCGGCACGAGTCTTGTAAAGAATTTATAGGAGAGGCGGGCGCGGGCGGGCTCAGTGCGCGCGCGCAGACGGCCGCGCAGGACCGCTCGCGAAAGTAAAAGTGTGTTGTGTGCGGTGATACGCGGTGTGGAATGGATGGCGAGGTGGGTTCACCCCATTGTTGATAAATGATAAGCAAATGCCAGTTGCGCAGTTTCACGTCACGCCAGTGGATCTTTCGGCTGAACTCGCCAAGAACTTAACACGTTCCGTATGCAGTGCTTTCAGTGGATTTACACAGGATTGTTGCGCTCCTTGATTGAGAATCTCGAGAGCCAAGTGATATTTTAGTAACCAGATAAGGTGTATCTTGTTCAAACGCAGCCAAAGCTAAGAGCCAATCGAATCGGCCGTATTGAGGTTGTTGAACTTAATTTAACATCCAAAACATTAACGATACGTTAACTCATATGTTATGATTGCTTCTTCATACTTTTGAGTTGAGTATCATGGACGACTAGCGAAATATCAGAAATTACAATAATATACAATCATTATCGAATAAATATTCCTGTAAACTTACAAACGGTGTTCTCTTCGAAGTTGGTTCAAATAGTTGGGTCTTGGCGTCGTTCCTCGGCCGACTCCAATGGCCCCAGTGGTCATCGGTAAACAAGTTTTAACTTTGGTATTTCTATTATTAATAAACGCCTGTATAAAAACCTAGCTTGATGACTTGCGTATTAAATTTAATAGAATCGTTTTATTACTAAAACATGTTGCTGTGTTGTAAAGTGTACTGCATAATAAAGTAGTTTAACTAGCAATAAGTCCTCAGTATCAACAACCCTTAGTAATTTAAACTTCTTGTCTTCATGATATTTATTTCAGATACTATTGCAGAATACGAAGTCAAAAGAAGGCTTCAAAGTAAAAAGTTAAAAACGTTTGCAAAGCTCAATTTCAGTAGACAGATAAAAGCTTTTCAATATTGATATATTAAGAGTACCAAATAATTCAACTACGAGTATTTTAAATATACAAATGACATGTCTATCATTTCCAGTTTAAGCATTAAGGCGCACTTAATAATTTTATCATAAAACGTTACAATTTATGATTACTCGCTCTTATGGTCTACTAA